CTCCTCCTCCTCCTCCAGTGCACACTCTACAGTCCTGGCTATGAGCATACAGATATCCACAGTGCGGTTGCGAGCCGCTCATTTCGTGCTTCTGCTCGGTGCATGACGTCAGGAGGGGAGGGGGGGTGGGAGGTGGAGACCTTGCACAGAGGTTGGGGTTTATCCTGTGAGTACTGGACTGCAAGAGAGTGTCGGGAAATTCAAATCTGCATTACTGTCACAGATGCATAAAGTCCAGTAGGGCAATTATTGTTCCTTTCGATGGCGAAGCTGGTGGGAACTCCTCCTCCCGACAGTTGATGTGTTATTGATGCAAAACTGAGTGGTTGATTCAAGTACATGTGTGGATGTTAACTAAAAGCAGATGCATTTGGAATAGATGCCTATAGTGCTATTAAAATGACCATAGGAATAAGACAATCTGATATAATAAGGCTTGAAAGCTGCACCTGAGGGAACACCCAGTTTTGTCTGCGCTCAACTCTTCAAACCCACCTCTTCCACATCAGCCGAAAGCAGTTTAATCAGGATACTTGCACAACAATGAAGTATTTGGGTTTGAACGTGACATCAGCCGTGTCACCAGACGCTTGTTTATCACTTCTAACTGAGGCTGACGCGCTGATGAAAGACAAGTTCCCCTTTTATTTCCGATCCCCTTAAAGCAGCACAGTTGTAGATGTGCAGACGGAGCCTCAGTTCGATCTGCTAACTACTAACTAACTGAGCCGTGCATATATAGGTCACACACTCACATTCACACACACTCTCTGATCGTCAAACCAGTGCCATGTCTTCTGGGCTCAACTGCCATTAATTTGACACACAGCAGAGTGTTGCTGTGCAGCCTTCAGTCTACCTGTGGCAACTTTCAAACGGTGGACCCCTTCACTGCCAGAGCGACCTTACAGCCTGTTATTGGTTGTAATATTGGTTGCCTATCTGCGTCTTGACTATTCAAATCCAAAAGCATAAACCGCAACACCAGTGAGTTTGTACTACGTGCTGTAAATGTCATCTGCACTAAGTCACTTGGATTTATGGGGACTTAATTAGAAACATGGCAGAAGATGCGCCGCCGTGCTTCAAATACACGTTTCTGCGCGTAAATTGCGATTTGCGCACACGGTTTCCATTAAAAAGCCACAATTCGTTCGAGTGTGTCGCAATGGCAGGGTCAAAAGAGACCTATAAATGCTAAAAAACCCGACGCTTTTCTTAATCTAAAAATAATTCAGCACTGCAAGGGTTAAAATGAAGCCTGTAAGCAGAGCGGCAGCGGCCAGCCTATTGCATACAGGCACGATATATCTCTGCCCTGCCATATAAGGCAATGGACAAAAAGCGCCGAAATACCGCATTTTGCACTCATTCATTCCCGAGTTTTTGCGCTGAATCGGGTGCAGGAGGGAGTTAAGGCTCTGTCGGTGGCAAACACGCTCGATTAAAACTCCTGATTTTCGCCCTATTCCTGTTTTTTTCCTGTGCCCTTCAGCCGCGGCCAGGGAAGCGCATACGCCCTGCTTCCCTAGCAACAGCATGAAAGGAAAGAGAGGGGNNGGGGGGGGGGGGGTCGGAGAGAAACAGAGAGAGAATTTAAGTTTGTGACAAACAAAACGAGCTCTTGATACAAAAAAAAATGGCACCCAGGAGCCGTCGTTTCCTCAAACATTATTTTGTCTCTTGAATATAGATCTCATCGAATCGAAATGCATATTCAAAAGCAAAAATTGGAGCTCGACGTGTCAGCTCTGTTTACTCAACCAGGTACCCAAAATACAAATTATGTATCATTTAGTGTTTGTACTGACAGGAATGACGCCTGCAATCTGCGTCAACACAGATTATCATTTACAAAATCCTCTGACTCAGACTGTCGGCGCGATCACATCACAGCTCGATATAATACAACCTGAATTGTATTTGGAAATACTTCCAAAATCAATAGACTTTTATCAGAGTGGGCTTCAATCGTTTGCCACGTGAAACAGCGTCACCACACGCAGGGTGAAGGGCTTTTCTTAATTTACAGACATCAAGGTTTGAGGAATTAGAAACCATTCGTTCGCGCTTTAAAAATTCTTTTTTTTAATCTGAAATTGGTTTTCTGGGGGAGCTGAGTGTGAGATCCATACTGCCAGAAGCTCCTCGTTAATCAGTAGAAGTTCTCATATGCAGACCGAATCATTTGCACTAAGATATGTCCTCACAAGAATCTTATCTCCTTCTTTATAAATGTGGAGTATTTACAGTCTTGTTGATCCCAGATCTGCGCGTCCTCCCTGGAATGCGCTCTGGTGACTTCTGTTGTCCCCTTTTTGCACTTGTTCACCTCACCTGTGACTTTTTACATTCAAGATGCTGATAAAAGTCCGCGACTGGTTGCCTATTCAAACATTTTTTCCCCCTGAGAGATTCGATTGCCGACGGATAAAAGCAAACTCTTCAGACAAATAAAAAAAGAGACAGAAGAAATTGAGGTTTTTAACTAAATCTACAGGCGCTGCTCAGGTCGTTTGGTTGAGAAATAGTTGTGAAAACTGTTCAATACGGCGCAGATAGTCTTGTAATGTATTTATTCAGATTTCTATGCAGTTATTAGTGGTGTGAAAATGTCTCTAAATGAACAACAAACACGGACAACTTTGTAAATGTTCATATATCTTTCAAAACTGTCCTTGTCTTGCAATTTCTGGAGTTGAATTTGTAGACTTGTTTTTTTTTTTTTTTAAATGTTCCATGAGTGCTTTTGCAGAAACCTTTCAACGTTTATTTTGTCCTTGCTGCAGCCCGTCAAGGTCAAATGAGCTGTTATCTAAAGCATGAGGATAAACTCAGGGTCAACCAGTCTGTTTTTTATCTCCTGAAGGGACTCTTTTCAAACAACCTATGGCGTCATTTTATTTAAACAAGGCTGTTCTTGTGCGTGCCAATCCTTCATAGATATATGTAATTATATATTAAATATATTTATCTGAGACCTATAAAAGCAGGAAATATAGTTTCTTCAAAACTACAACTTTTTTTCTGTGTGTAAAGGAGGTTGTCTTGTGTGGTTTCTACACAGTTAAGCAGTGGAAACAGGATGATTGTTAGTGATTGAAAGAATGTTTGTGGAGTATATTTATGTGGGTGTAAATGTGTGCATGTAGGAGGGCCAGGGTCAGGGCTTAGTCCTGATCTCTGGTCTGGTCTCAGCAGGGAGGCACATAAAGCTCAGTCTTGTGACTTTTTTTTTTCATTGCAATTTCTTTTTTCATTCTCCCATTTTCTCACACACACACACACA